ATAAGTTTTCCAAATGGAATTCAGTTTAGTAGCTGATATATGCAGTTCAAGAATGCTACTGCAACTAATTAAACTATTTACTGCCAACTATAATCTGCTCCTAAAGCTAAAAAATGTTTATTATTATCAAAATGACACATCCAGGGCTTTCAACAAGCTCTTTAAATTAAATACTGTTCAAATACTTAATACTTTTAATAAGTTTTTCATATGGAATGCTGTTAAGTAGTGCTATCAATGAACTTTACATCATGATCTTTACAATGTAAAATACATATAACAAATCATCCATAAAACTTGGTCTATTAATCATTATTACCTGGTTATAAAGCATTATTTTGAACTATTCATTTACCTGCGACTGTTTAAATTAATTTTACTGCTTGAGGAAAAGCATCTCCCACTGTACAATAAGCAAGCTATAAGCGCAACTAAGCAGAGAGCTCCAAAACTGCTCGTTAGTCATCATCAACAAGAAAAGCGTAACGTAATTTAAAGATGGATATAGTGAAATATTCTATATTATATATAAATATATAGTTGATATAAATATATAGTTGAAGTAGGTAACCGATAACGTAACCAACGCTCACCGCAAATGTGCACTTATTTGTTGAAAAATTCTTTGCTGAGATATAAATCATTATATTATATTATTGCATCATATTAAAACATACTTTCTTACTTATACCGAAGACGACTTTAATTAACCCTATTTGTGTAAAGAAAAACAAACAAAAAATTGTTTTTGATTTGCCCCTACTTGGATTAAATTTACAAGCCTGTGTATCCATAATCTTACAAATGTAAAGTGAATTACCATCATAGTAATGGAAACAATATAGAAAGTGCTTTAAAAAGGTTATTTCCATACAGAACTAATTCACATATTATCTTCTTTTTTACGGAACAAAATATTGATGTGGATGATAAAATATCTTCTCCTGACAGTAAATAAAATTCACACTGTGCATTCATATATCTTTTTTTTTTAAATTTTGTTTTCTGTACAATTTATTTAATCAATGAACTAATCATTAAGTGTGTGAAATTTCTTTCTGGCAAAAGGAAACATTATTATTAAAGGCAATCTTATTTGCAGTAACATTCTATGCTGTAATACTAACAGTAAATACTCTGTGCAATGTGTGTTGCAGTTGCAATGATGTTCTGACAGAAAAATATTTACACATGTGGAAATTTAATGTTTGTAGTTTGTGTGTTTATAAGTTTCCAAGTGTAGTTCATAATTATACTTTTTTATTGTAAAAAATTTGATTTCTGTTCTAAAAAGTGTACAAAACGAAGGAGTTTCATTTAATTGTTTTGAGTTCATAATATGGAAGTAATTTATTCAAGCATTGTGATAAATTAATCAAGAAAAAAAAAATAATTTGGTTCAAGTAAACGAACTTTTCAAGCAGTACATTATCAAACAGTTACAAATAGGTTAAAATGACTGATAACTGTTGCGGATAATTAAGCTGTTTGTCACTTTCATAAAACACATATGATTTGATATTTACATGCAGGAAATTTAAATTGTGATTTTCCTGTTCACACTGAGAAAATATTTTCTCTAACCTGTTATGGCAATTTAATACTCGAAAATAGAATTAAACTTTTTTTTCACCTTCTCATATATATTGTAATGAATAAGAGCTTGCATTTCTTGTGTATGAAAAAACATTGATATAAAAATTAGCAATTAAAGTTTTTTTTAAATATTTTAATAGATTATGTTAAACCTTTTAAGTCTGTGAAAGTGAAAAAAAAAAATTTCTTTTTGCTTTTCTTATTTTATAATGAACTATATTTCTGCAGTGTCTGTGTGAATAAATTACTAGTTGTTTTGTGAACACATTTTTTAATGCTGAAAAGTCAGTGACCATTATTTACCCCGAAAAAAGAGTGACCCAGAACTCCCCCGTGTGACCCTAATGAAATAAATTATTTTCGTGTATATATTGATAATTTTATGTTCAAAATAGTAGATATTATTATTTTTTGTTCCTGTTAATTTTTCTAATATCTCTTACTAATAACACATAACATTCATTTTACACTATGCTTAAAACTGCATTCATTCATAGTGTATTGAATCTAATACATGAAGTTGTACATTGTTTCTGCAGTTTTTTGTGATAAAAAGACATTAAGTGAAATAATTTAGTTTTGTATCTTGGTATGTTCAGCAAGAGAGAAATATTAAAGTAGTTTGGGAAAAAAAAAATATTTACGTCTCAATATAATTTAAATTAATGTTTTCATAGATGCATTTAATAATAAATCATATGCCTGCTGTAAGGTGATCACATTTCTACGGTATTATATTTTACCTAATAAAAAATTTAGTCAAAGTAAGTGACTTGATACAGCTTGCTCTTTTTTGTATCATATGTTAGTAAAGGCCTAATTTAATTCAGAATAAGTATCCTGTTACTAAATCTTATTCTTGTAGTATATAAAATAAGGGTTTTTCACAAAAAAGTAATCTAACAAAACATAATCATATTCATACTGGTGAGAAGGTATTTTCTTGTAGTATATGTAATAAGAGTTTTTCTCAAAGTGAGCTTCTGAATAATCACAGTTGTATTTGGGGAGAAACCTTCTTGTAGTATATGTAATAAGAGTTTTTCAAAAAAAAGTAATATGATTAAACACAGTCTTGCTCATACTGGTGAGAAGCCTTATTCTTGTAGTATATGTGATAAAAAATTTTCACTAAAAAGATATCTCACTACACACGGTCGTGTTCATACTGGTGAGAAGCCTTATTCTTGTAGTATATGTAATGAAAAATTTTCACGAAAAAGACTTCTCGCTTTACACTACCGTATTCATACTGAGGAAAAGCCTTATTATTGTAGTATATGTAATAAGAGTTTTTCAACGAGAGGGACTCTGAATCAACACCATCGTGTTCATACTGGGAAGAAACCTTATTCTTGTAGTATATGTAGTAGAAGTTTTTCATTAAAAGGTAGTCTGATAGTACACAGTCGTGTTCATACTGGTGAGAAGTCTTATTCTTGTAGTATATGTAATAAAAAAATTTCAAGGAGAGGGACTCTGAATCAACATCGTCGTGTTCATACTGAGGAGAAGCCTTATTCTTGTAGTATATGTAATAAAAAATTTTCACAAAAGAGAAATCTGAAAGTACACAGCCGTGTTCATACTGGTGAGAAGCCTTATTCTTGTGGTAAATGTAATAAGAGTTTTTCACGAAAGGGTGTTCTGACAGAACACGGTCGTGTTCATACTGGTGAGAAGCTTTATTCTTGTAATGTATGTAATAAGAGTTTTTCACTAAAAAGTAATCTGAAAGTACACAGCCGTGTTCATACTGGTGAGAAGCCTTATTCTTGTAGTATATGTAATAAGAGTTTTTCACAAAAGGGTAGTCTGACAGAACATGGTCGTGTTCATACTGGTGAGAAGCCTTATTATTGTAGTATATGTAATAAGAGTTTTTCAACGAGAGGGACTCTGAATCATCACCATCGTGTTCATACTGGGGAGAAACCTTATTCTTGTAGTATATGTAGTAGAAGTTTTTCATTAAAAGGTAGTCTGATAGTACACAGTCGTGTTCATACTGGTGAGAAGTCTTATTCTTGTAGTATATGTAATAAAAAATTTTCAAGGAGAGGGACTCTGAATCAACATCGTCGTGTTCATACTGAGGAGAAGCCTTATTCTTGTAGTATATGTAATAAAAAATTTTCAAGGAGAGAGACTCTGAATCAACATCGTCGTGTTCATACTGAGGAGAAGCCTTATTCTTGTAGTATATGTAATAAAAAATTTTTACAAAAAAGAAATCTGAAAGTACACAGCCGTGTTCATACTGGTGAGAAGCCTTCTTGTAGTATATGTAATAAGAGTTTTTCACAAAAAGGTAGTCTGACAAGACACAGTCATGTTCATACTGCTGAGAAGCCTTATTCTTGTAGTAAATGTAATAAGAGTTTTTCACGAAAGGGTAGTCTGACAGAACACGGTCGTGTTCATACTGGTGAGAAGCTTTATTCTTGTAATGTATGTAATAAGAGTTTTTCACTAAAAAGTAATCTGACAGTACACAGCCGTGTTCATACTGGTGAGAAGCCTTATTCTTGTAGTATATGTAATAAGAGTTTTTCACAAAAGGGTAGTCTGACAGAACACGGTAATGTTCATACTGGTGAGAAGCCTTATTCTTGTAGTATATGTCAAAAAAGTTTTTCACATAAAGGTAGACTGACAGAACACTATCGTGTTCATACTGGTGAGAAGCCTTATTCTTGTAGTATATGTGATAAAAAATTTTCACTAAAAAGATATCTCACTGCACACGGTCGTGTTCATACTGGTGAGAAGCCTTATTCTTGTAATATATGTAATAAACGTTTTTCACTAAAAGGTAGTCTAAATATACATGGACGTGTTCATACTGGTGAGAAGCCTTATTCTTGTAGTATATGTAATAAAAAATTTTCACTAAAAAGACTTCTCACTTTACACTACCGTATTCATACCGAGGAAAAGCCTTATTATTGTAGTATATGTAATAAGAGTTTTTCAACGAGAGGGACTCTGAATCAACACCATCGTGTTCATACTGGGGAGAAACCTTATTCTTGTAGTATATGTAGTAGAAGTTTTTCATTAAAAGGTAGTCTGATAGTACACAGTCGTGTTCATACTGGTGAGAAGTCTTATTCTTCTAGTATATGTAATAAAAATTTTTCAAGGAGAGGGACTCTGAATCAACATCGTCGTGTTCATACTGAGGAGAAGCCTTATTCTTGTAGTATATGTAATAAAAAATTTTCACAAAAAAGAAATCTGAAAGTACACTGCCGTGTTCATACTGGTGAGAAGCCTTCTTGTAGTATATGTAATAAGAGTTTTTCAGAAAAAGGTAGTCTGACAAAACACAGTCGTGTTCATACTGGTGAGAAGCCTTATTCTTGTAGTATATGTCAAAAGAGTTTTTCACATAAAGGTACATTGACAGAACACTATCGTGTTCATACTGGTGAGAAGCCTTATTCTTGTAGTATATGTAATAAAAAATTTTCACAAAAAAGAAATCTGAAAGTACACAGCCGTGTTCATACTGGCGAGAAGCCTTCTTGTAGTATATGTAATAAGAGTTTTTCAGAAAAAGGTAGTCTGACAAAACACAGTCGTGTTCATACTGGTGAGAAGCCTTATTCTTGTAGTATATGTCAAAAGAGTTTTTCATATAAAGGTACACTGACAGAACACTATCGTGTTCATACTGGTGAGAAGCCTTATTCTTGTAATGTATGTAATAAGAGTTTTTCACTAAAAAGTAAGCTGAAAGTACACAGCCGTGTTCATACTGGTGAGAAGCCTTATTCTTGTAGTATATGTAATAAGAGTTTTTCACAAAAGGGTAGTCTGACAGAACACGGTCGTGTTCATACTGGTGAGAAGCCTTATTCTTGTAGTATATGTCAAAAGAGTTTTTCACATAAAGGTACACTGACAGAACACTATCGTGTTCATACTGGTGAGAAGCCTTATTCTTGTAGTACATGTAATAAGAGTTTTTCAATAAAAAGCCATCTCAATTCACACGGTTGTGTTCATACTGGTGAGAAGCCTTATTCTTGTAATACATGTAATAAGAGTTTTTCACTAAAAAGCCATCTCACTACACACGGTCGTGTTCATACTGGTGAAAAGCCTTATTCTTGTAGTATATGTAATAAGAGTTTTTCACAAAAAGCTGGTCTGACAAAACACGGTCGTGCTCATACTGGTGAGAAACCTTATTCTTGTAGTATATGTAATAAAAGTTTTTCACGAAAGTGTAGTCTGACAGAGCACAGTCGTGTTCATACTGGTGAGAAGCCTTATTCTTGTAGTACGTGTAATAAGAGTTTTTCACATAAAGGTAGTCTGACAGAACACAATCGTGCTCATACTGGTGAGAAGCCTTATTCTTGTAGTACGTGTAATAAGAGTTTTTCAGAAAGAGGGACTCTGAATAGACATTACCGTGTTCATTCTGGTTAGAAACCTTATTCTTGTAATATATGTAATAAGTGTTTTTCACTAAAAGGTAGTCTGAAAATACACAATCGTGTTCATACCTTATTCTTGAAAAGCCTTATTCTTGTAGTATGTGTAATTAAAAAATTTCACGAAAAAGTAATCTCACTACGCACGGTAGTGTTCATACTGGTGAGAAACCTAGCTTTTTCAAGAAAGAATTATCTAACTATTCACAGTCTTGGTAATTCTATTTGAAAGCCATATTCATGTTAAAAGTCTTCTTTTTTTTTCGCTTGAGATCCATCTAATTTATTGAAGTTTTATTCATACTTGTGAAAAACCTCATTCTTTTAATATGTTTTTTAAAAAAAAGAGTTATTTTTTTCAAAAGCTGACTTTATTGTTTGTGTTTTTACTGGTGAGAAACCTTTATGTTGTAGTTTAATGGAATAAGAGTTTTTCTCACATATGTAATCTGACTAAATACAGTATTGTTTATACTATTGACACCATATTTTTGAAGTATGTAATAAAATAATTTTTTGAATAATAGGGATCTAAATGTTTTAATTCATGTTCATCTTGGTTTTAATTTACCCCTTGATTACTGGATTATATTACTTTATTTACAACCAGTTATGTTTGACTAATATATAAATTATTATTCATTTTCATATCATTAGAATCCTGATTTCAATTTAATATGTTTATTGCAATGAGAGAAAAAAAAGACTCCTAGCATTTTTTAATTAAAATTATTTGTTACATCTTTTATTTAATAAATCTTTTGTAATGCATGTTGTACTATTATTTTTATAAAAGTAGCTTTTGTAATTTTGTTACTAAATGTTTTTTTTTTTTATCTTTTAGAAAAAGACAAGTGGTAAAAAACTTAAATTAATATCTAAAATTACTTTTGGTATTAGTATTTGTGATGAAAATCTCACTAATTGAGAACAAAATTGAAGTTATATTAGGTAAATAAAATACAAAAGTTGAATGTCTTTTATTGTTAAGTAAATGTTAATAATCAATTTAAATTAGTAATTTTTTAAAGTTTTCAATTTTTGCAGATTAGCAAAAAGTAGTTATTAAATATGATTTTTAAGTCAATTTGTTTAGATTCATAAAATTACTCGTATATAACACTTAGGCTACCGGAATACATATTTCCCACAAAAAAGATCAATAATATTTAACCAATTTTAAAATCTATTGAATACTGATTCAAAGTCTCCCATAATATGATTACATCTAAATTTGACTAACTTCAAAATGCAATTTTATTTTAAGCCAAAAATCCAGTCTGAAAAATAAAATAAATTTAGTCAAAATTTTTTAGTTAGTTCAAAATGTTACTTTTCTGAATACTGATTAGTAGTATTGAATCTTTAAATAAGAGTTTAAATGTTATAACTTAGCATTGAAAATTTACATTAAAGAAATACAGTAGGGAACCGATTATCCGGAACGATCAGGACCATCGCTATTCCGGATAACTGGTTTTTCCGGTATTCTGAAGTCGTTTTTTTTATTGTTAAACCCAACTAAAAAAAAAAAAAAAAATCGGAAATAATCTTAAAAAGAAGAAAAAACGATGAAGTAATGCACTAATGATTATTTCCAAAATGATGGTAAGGTAAACATCTTTCAAAAAAGAAAGGAAAATCCTAAAATCTTATGAGGAGAAATTTTTTTTAAAAAAAAAGTGGGGGAAACTTCATCGAATTTCGTTCCGGTTTTTTGAATTCCGGATAACGGGTTCTGTACTGTAGTTTGAATAATGTAATTTTGATTTATTTTTCAAAGTGTTTAATTTGGAATGAACTTAGAGTTTTAAAACAGCAATTATTAAATAGTTTCTGTAACATAGAGTGATATTAATAATTATACTTATGCAACTTAATAGAAAATGAACGTTCACTCATCTAGCATGGATTGAAGAAATATGAATCTCTTATACAAACCAAAAGTTTTTATCTAGCGGGTGTCTTCGAGGTAGGTCATGATACCATTTTTTAAAAATAAACATACATTATGGTTGATCAACTGAACACAGCTTATATGTTGTAGTACAGGGATGAATTTCCTAAATTAAATATCTGTTTATTTTATTTTTTGCTCTTTCTTTCAAGTATTTAATTTGTAATACAGTACAGAACCCGTTATACGGAAATCGGAAAACCAAGAAACCGGAACGAAATTCGATAACTTTTCCCGCTATTTTTTAAAAAAAAATTTTTTTTTCCTCGTAAGATTTTAGGATTTTTCTTTCTTTTTTGAAAGATGTTTACCCTCAGGGCTAAAGAGAATAGAAGGGCTGGTTCACTCCTTTGAAGTATCTCTTGCCGCGGTCTGAAATAGAACACGTAGAGCACCTCCAT